AACAAAAAAAAAAAAAAAAAAAAAAAAAAAAAAAAAAAAAAAAAAAAAAAAAAAAAAAAAAAAAAAAAAAAAAAACACACACACACAAATTGATATAAAAAATAAGGATCTTATTCTTGATGTTCATAGGAGGCAAATGAATCAATGCACAAATGAAAGTTTTCCCATTTTTAATAATATGAATGAACTTAAGTTTGTATGCTAGAACATTTTTCATGCAGCAAATTTTTCATGGAAATAGTACTTGTGAAAATCCTGGGTTGAATGAGTTAAATAAAACGCCACTGGAATCTCATGCTCACGTTCAAAACAGAAAAATGGATATTTCATGCAATTTTCCATATATTTTTGGTGAAAATTCTCCATATCTTCATCATTCACTCAAATACGTATCAGGAAACGGAATAATCAGAGATTAACTTTAAAATTTAGCAAAAAATGTCAATCACAAGCAAAAAATCAGATTGAATCAATAAATGAATTTGATATACCTATATAGTCAATTTTACTGTACCACAAAATTTTCGCGGGACTTTGTTTAGAGTTTAAACGTTTGTTGTAACGATATTTCATGAGTATTCGCAGAAGTCATATATACTGTACTCACGTTAGGTTGAAATAATGGACGAAAGCTTCGTTCAAGTAACTGTCAGCCCCATTGGCTATTTTGTAATTATTTCCCACTCTTGAATCAAAATCAACTGTCATCCAGGGCATGGAAACAACCACCCCTAAGGCAACATGTCTTCCCCCATGCCCTAAAACAATCTGCTTTGGATGTTTCCAAAACGCATGGAAATCCAATCGTTTGCAGTTTCCGGCTTCGTCCGTCCACGTAGTTTTGAATTTGTCAAAACCTATTTCGGGACGACGTTGAAACGGTTTGTAAACGTGGTTTAATTGGAAAATAGTCGTATTTTTCGACTGCTGCGTTTTGGGATTGGCATTTGAATTGACAAGGTCCATGTTTATAATGACAAGTTGCCAACGTTCGTCCAATAATTCCAGAAATTGCCCAGAGGAAAATGCTTTGCTTGCTGTTTCATTTGATGCGAGCCAGATCCAAAATATGTTCCATCTTGAGACCAGTTGTTCATTGGCCTTCCAGACAAGTGACAGAAAATCAAGTTTTTAAAGCATTGCGCGTTCATTTTGATTAAGTATATGTACCTCCAAAATATACTCACTTTCTTGAACAAGGCGTAAGTGGCCTGAAATCCACAAGTTACGACTATTTTCCGTGAGCCTTGAAAAGCCTTTGATTGCAACAGGTCATTTATGAAATCCGTGCCCGAGTCACAGTCAAAATTAAAAGCAGGCTGAGTTGAATCTAAAAAACAATTTCAGATTTCAGATGCATTCAAAAATCAATTTATACCACAATTTGGCTTACTGCTCACAGTTTACTTTCGTATCAGTGAAGATAACGTCCGGCTCAAGATTCTTTTGAATGCATTCCAATGGAAGTATCATCGGATCCGCAATTTGTGTAGTATGCAGCATATTTCCTAAAGAAAATGAACGATAAAAGTTTCGAAATTGTTGCTCAAATATTGTGTACAATATTAAATGTGACCGTATTTCACCATGTAAGCCGGACATTCCGAAGAGAATCCAGCAGAAAATTGGCCGAAGTGTCGTTGACTGATCCATTTTTACGGTGCATCGTTTTCATCTATTAAATTCAAATTCTTTTTACATTTTCAAATAATGACTCCAGTTGACCCAAACCCGCGACATGCCGACGATATTCTAAGGCACATGTATTCATTGCACTTTCCGCAAAATAAAACGCGTCAATATGTGACAATGCCCAGAAAAAAAGGATGGAAAATACTGACGTTTTCTATGAATCATTTACTGGACACACTCCAGGAAACGCGGTCACCATGAAGATGCTTTTTGGTCAATCACAAAAAAAAAACCATGGAATATTTTTTCTCCATTGTTCTGAAGAAATGCAATGCTTCTTCAGTAATCACTATACAGTATATTTAGAGTAATAGGTAGATATCAAACACATTTTGTAACCTGGGTTTGCTTCTACAATTGAACCTTGATAACTCAAACCTCCCTGAGTCAAAATTTTCAANTTGTTCTGAAGCAATGCAATGCTTCTTCACTAATCACTAGTATAATTAGAGTTATAGATACATATCAAATAAATTTGGTAACCTGGGTTTGCTTATACAATTGAACCTTGATAACTCAAACCTCCCTACGTCAAATTTTTTAAGGTTCCTGCCTGAATCCCCTTAGAAGAAATGCATTAAAAACAGTCTTAAGTCAAAGTCATTTCCCATCAAACCTGTCATGGGTGCATTGGACCCCCGACAAAGGAATAGAATTGTGCAGCCATCAGAATGCAAGTTTTGAATAAGAACTCAAACTCTCTTCAGAGGAGTTCATTCTCATTGCCCAGATCATCAATTATACACCAAGGTTACAGTTGGTGCATTTGTGTGATGCTCATGTTATTTCACATTTGTGCACCAAGTGTAAACCTCGAATGGTAGCAAAATTTCTTCTACAGGAGTGCACACTTGTACCCCCAGAATATCCCATATGCTCCAGTTGTGACCCTGGCATGCACCAACTGTGGGGTCACAGCAAAAATAGCTCCCCAGCACTTGGGAGGTTAGCTCAGAATATTGAATGAGGCAATTAAAGTTAAAAGGCCCTTCAACACTAGGTTCTCACTTCTCCACTCAAAGAGGAATGAAGGCTTTTATACCCAGGTTCTTGCACTGGGTCAGGAAGAAATCAGGTCCTGGCTCAGGATTGGCCAATTTCAATGAAATTGAGGAAGTGGTGGGCACGTCTTGTCCTTGAGTGAGGCTCAGTGAGTCTGGCAAAAACGGGATTTTGGCAAGGCTCACTGGCCTTGGAAATGCAACAAGTTCTCTTGTCCAGTTGCAGCCAAATGCTGGAGTTGCCTTGCTTTGGTACGCAACAAAACCTCCATAATGTGAATATTCTCTGGCCTGCTGTTTATTATTTTCTTGTCACAAGAAAGAAAAAGCCATAAAAACAGAAATTGACGTGTTTTGATACTTTCAAAAAGAAGTGGAAGACTGAATTGGGCAAATGAACCCCTGCCTTCAAGTTCAGCATCCTTTCAAATCATTTAAGAAGCCATTTAAGCCTGGCCTCAGATATCACCATTTACAATCTTGGAAAATTCTTCTATGTTTCCCAGAACTAAAGGGCTTTGTTTGTAGCTCAAACCTCTATAATTCTAAACCTTTCTAAGTCAAAACCTCCCAAAATGTTGACTTTTTAGCTTATCCCTTGAAATTTGACTTAGAGAGGTTTGGCTGTATGTGAAACCAAAGAATTATTACAAACATGCAATTTAATTTTTTTTTTACAATTTCAAGGATCACATGCAGCCCTTTGGAGAAAAATAGATGCCATTTGAAAGCCTCACATTTCATCTAAAGTTCATCTATAATAGTTGAATGAATATTTTTGGACAAGAACTCCAAATAATGATATTTGCCTTATTTTCTGAATCGATTTCATGAGAAGGTATGGAAAGAATATCATAAAATATTATCAGGGCAGGGGATAGACAATTCATCATGCTTTTAGGTCATGTAGCCATTTTATTGTAGTGTAGGGAATTGACAAAAAAGGTTGTTTCCAGAGTCAATCGAAATGAATGACTAAAAATATCTCAATTCTGCAAATTGATCCCATTATGCCAATGTTCCTGCTTCGAAAATTACTTGAAAAGAAATTTGGTGTCACGGGTTTTACGAATGAATTGACATTCAAGGCCATTTGTGAGTATGATGGAAACGACAGTAGCAGTTTATATTGTGAAATAAAATCCTACTATTGTGTTTATTTTTAATTTCTTCTGTATTGTTTATAGCGTCAAAACTTGAAGCTTCGGAAATCAAAATTTCAACACCTGCTGTAAAGCTTGACTTCGATCACTGCGAAGTAAATATACCAAACATATATATGGTAGAATATATCGAAATCTTTTAAAAAAATAAGTTGATTCATCAAAAAGAAAAGTCTCAGTATACGACCTTCAAGAATTTTAAAATAATGTTTCCATACATGTTTTCTGTTGATTCAGAAATGAAGGTGCAGAAATTTTAACAAGAAAGAAGCGGGAATGTAATTTCGAGAAGCATTCAAAAGGAAGCATTCATTCAAGCCGTCACAACACCGACTAGCAAAAAGCAGCAGAAGAAATTACAAATTTCTTAATAATCTTTTCCTGAATCATTCTGCAGAAATCTTCAATCCTCCATTTTCGTGTCCTTTTTCGGGGTCCTCTTGTGTCACAATGTCCTGCTTATCATCCGCAGTTGCTTTCTTCTTGGAAATTGCATTGCCAGTGCAGGGAGCAAAGATGATCTTTTCCAATCCAATAATTGGTGCTTCAAACAGCAAGGACATGACAAATGCACAAGAGATAGTCAAGACCATTGTCCCAAAGAACCAGTAGAGCTGTGAATAAGATTTTAAAAACTTCAGTTTCAATTTTTTCTCTGTTTAAAATACTTGACTTTGAATTTTTTGGGTTTGTTTGAAATTTTGTATACGCCTTGATCAAAGAAACAAAAATGAAGAAAATAATTAACTGAACTTTTCTACAACATATTGGTTATTGTACATGTGTTACATGATTACCTTGCAGTTTGACCACCCCTCAATTTGTGCATTCCACAATTTATTCAACAGTAAAATTTGCTCAGAGGTTGACTCACAACTTGACCTCTGCCCCACAATTTGATACACAAAGAGATGCAGAGTGTCAAATACAATGTATAAAACATGACATTTGACATTGTCTCACAATTTGACTGCTTCACAATTTGACCCCAGTCCAGAAACAGATTAGTCAAATAGCAGGGCACCATTTGGACTGTCATTGATGTGTGATAAATGTGGAAGTTGTCAGCAATATATGAAAACTGGTAATGGGACACATTTCTGGACTATTTATTAGAAGAAATTTAAAAATTGGGTCTAAATCCAAAATCCCATCAGCAGCAAAATGGGAGTTCAATGAGTTCAGTAAACTCTGTTCTTTCTTTGTTCAATCACTACAAGTGAAAATACATAAGATTGCACACCTGCATCCCTGAATTGCTTGTTGTGACAGAATAATTTTTATTTCTAATTAAATATGCCAAATATACCTTGGACAGTTTCCAAGACAATTGTATAATGATTAATGCATAGTTCCCTAATTTTTATTTCCTTCAGTTGATTGCAGAACTATAAATTCAGTATTAAGTTTCCAAACATCTGTCTTTTTGAATTGTTGTGAACAATACCACATTTTAAAAAACAAACACGAACACGCCTTTTCACAAACAGGAATCCAAAATGTGATACATAAATTATATCATGGGCCCTGATTTCAAAAAGCTCAAGTACTTCCAGGTTCACTCTGATGAAGTTATTGTGCTTTGACTTGTACTCAGTATAATGGCCTTGTGCTGTGATTTTTTTTAATCATTGGAAACAATACATGGAAATTAATTATTCATCCATTCATATATGTGCTGCATTTTAATTTATTTTCTTTTAATACCTGCATAGAAAATATTACTTTTGATAGGCTGGAATGTGATGCATGATGGGACAGATGTGGGAACATTTTGTGAGTACCTTGTGAATGATGACAAACAGCAATTACAACTTATTGCACATATCAATCAAGAAGATCTCATTTGACCCCTCTGAAACTCATCATTTGATTGATAAATTGATCATCTTATAAGCTTTTTTTATGCTTCTCAGTGTTGACAAGGTTCAAGCAATGTCCCCACTTCCAAACCCCCTCCCCCTCCCCACCCCCATTCATCCAAGCACATTCCATCACATCAAGTTTGAAAATAGATAAATAAGCCGTATATATGGATGATAAAAGAGAAAATACATCCCAAAATGTACAATTGCACAACTGATGTAAATGCATACACTTTCTTCCCCTCCCAGATAACTCACCATGGTCAGGTGATCCAGGTGTGGAACCGTTTTGCGAGACCATTGGTAAATTTGCTGAATCATGAGAGACAGGAGATAGGAACAGTAAGTCAGTCTCCCCAGGGGCATGAAGAGCTTCCAAGATAAAAATTTGTTGATCCATCCTGGAAATCACGGGAAACATGAAGTGCATAAGCTTCCAGATTCCAATAATTACCCACTTGAAATAGGTCTTGTAAAGATCTATTTCAGGCCCTTCTCGTAATTTCGGGTCATTATCTCTCTTTCTCTCATGAGATAAAACCTGGAGGCCAATGTTCTTTCAAAAAAATTATTTAGCATATATGCATCCTGAATATTTGTGAAGCAATTTTTGAACATGCAGTAAATGCAACTTGAATTCCGGGATAGCAAATAATTTACAACTGAAACGTTTTGGAAATACTGTATCACAGACATTAAAGCATTTTTTGCGTCATTTTTCTGCTGTTCCCCTCATAACAGTCATCAGAATATATCGACTTTTCTCTGAATTTTATCTTTCTGTCTGTAAAGGGAATCAATTTCGAATAAGTATCAATTGCTCACCACTCGCTGTCAAATATTTTAAAGATTTCTCCAAGTCTCACAGTTAAACCATGACTGGTGTGATTGGGCGGACTTGATGAAGAATTCATTGGGTAATATGAAATTATAGAAATAAGAATAATTAAAAGCACTAATAATATTGAAAGGCCAAAAATTTAAATCTGAATCCCAAAGACAAAATGAACAGAAAAGACACAATCAGCTGATTATTATGGCGGGAACACAGCATAGAATTCTTAATCGAGTTTAAAATACATATTCACTGTACTGCACATTTATTTCCCAACGGAAAGGAAACTAGATTAAGTGAAAAAAGAAGAGTAATTAAAATGCAGAAAGAATAAATAAAGACAGATTTTTTTACATTTCTTACACCGTGGATCAAGATTCGAAAAATTTGAAAATATTCCGCTGATTTTCCACAAAAAAATCAGGTGTGATAATACGTTCTAGTGTGAAATAAAAAGCCTGTCTTCGGATAGAAGTAATATTACAAGAAACGAAAATACAGACTGAAAAACACGCACTTGCATCAACTCGTCCACAGATCGACAATCCAATTCAAGCAGGGAAAGAAAAAAATTGTGGGAGGGAAGAATTGCCTTTTCGTTTCTTTTCGGGTTTTATTTTATTTTTTTTTTACGTAATCTGCCGGTGGGAAAATGTTAACTAACCTCCATAACCGTGGACACAGGCAAAGCACGACTCATTTGAGGACGTGAAGGTTCCTCCAAGGAAATGTACCTTCGTAGTCCATAGACAATGGCTAGACCAGTCACTGATGCTGTCAACCAACCTCCGTAAACCACCCACTGTAAGCAAAAAATAATAATAATTAAAAATTAATATGAATCGGTGGCTATATTTGAATTACTGTACTGTATACCTATACTACATAAGAGGGGCTACATGTTTCCGCGCGGACTTGAAAAGAGATACACGTTTCCGCGCGGACTCGTTTTTGGCGCGGGCTTGAAAGGGGCTACAGGTTTCCACCCTGGAATTGAAAAGAGAATGAGTACGTGACGTGTTACCTGCTGCTGAGTAACCTGACCGCGAAAATTCAACGCGATATTTATGCTGGCATCACGAATTTTGAGAATTTCGAAATTCTTCAACCTCGGAAAAAATATTTCTTGCCTTTTACTTACATGCAATTCAAACGAAAATTCAATTTCTTCCGACTTTGTTTGAGCACAGTTTGCACAGAAAGGAAACTAGATTAAGTGAAAAAAGAAAAGGAATTGAAATGCAGAAAGAATAAATAAAGACAGATTTTTTCACATTTCTTACACCTCTCATTCGAATGATTTTAATTTTTTTCAGCGTACTAATATATTCTCTTATGCTAACCCACAAACTCATGGAAAAGCTTTGCGTCACGCACATGAAATTGATGATAAAGCCGTTATTGAACATAAAAAAAATTTTCATAATTTTACGGAAGCTGAAAAAAATTAGCTAAAGAATTTTCCAAAAATTGAGCGCTTTCAAACAAAACTCCGACCTTACCAACGCCATCAGCTGCATTCTAATTTCCGCAAAATTTCATTACTATTATTCAAAGTCAAAAACTAATATGAGGTACACTTCAAAAGGCAAAAATAAACTCATCAGCAGCAGTGAGACCCCCACATGCGGACACCTCAACATGGGGACAATTTGACGTAGGGACATTTATTTTTCAATAAAAAAATCATAAAAAAGGCCCAACCCATGGACACTGACTTGACATGAGGACATTGAATGATAAAATTGCCAATAAATGTTAGGAAAATTGACTGTTATTAGGTTTAATTGCAAGAAACAGATATTTCCCACCCTAAGAAAAATTCTTTGATACTTATTTTCCCATCACTTTTCCATCCATTCAGCTAATTTGAAAACATTACCTATAGCACAGAGGGACTTCCTTCCATCTTTGTGACTTGGATTTTATTTTTACAGATGCCAACATTTCAATGAACTGCATGTACAGTGGTATACTACTCAATGCTCCAAATGTTTTTTGGGTTGAAAAGATATTCACTGAATCAAATTCAAGTGGCAAAAAAATGTTTTCATCGAATTCTGAAGAATATTTCTTCCATAAAACACCAATTAAAAATTATATAATGTAAGTCTAGGGGAAAACAAGACTTGACTAAGGGAAAATTTAACTTAGGGACACTCTTGATGCACCATTTATGTCCACATTTGGGGTATTTCCCCATGTTCAATTCAGGAAAATATTTCTAACCTTTGGCAAGATCAACTTCTTCCCTCCCGTTCGATGCAGCAGATATCCAAAGATGAGTCCAATGACGTAAGGTCCAGCACGGGAATACGAAGCAGTGTATATGTATTCGAAGTATTCTTGGGTCGTAGCCGACATAGGGAGCATAGTGGCTGCCAGATCGTAGTGCCATATGACGATCATCGGCGCCACGGCGGCGCCTATGGCAACAAAGCCGATCCAGGCGAAGGCCGCCTTTGATGGACGGTAAAACAGCGGGAGCAGCACCAATGGGGCAAACAGGTACATTTGCATGTCGTTTGACACGTACCAGAGCTGTAAAAAAAAATCGTTCCACATTTTGTACTGTTGAACTAAGCAGAAGAAAATATAAGTTTACATGCTGCTAAAGTACAGAATTTACTTGTGAACTAATACACCCCTATCAAATAAGACACGCACCCCCATACAGAGGTTTTCAGGGGTGGCTGGAATAATATCTCCAGGAATAACCTGGTCACACTGGAATACTGTAATGTGGTCAAGATTTAATGTTGTCAGGAATATGATTGTCAGGAATAATATTGCATTTGGGAATTTCATTTTTCTGCTAAACTGAAATAAAATCTTCAAAATACGCTTTTTTCCTGAAATTGGAACAACATTGTCTGGCAAAACTGTGGACTTTCCATGTAATGTGAATATGGAATAACCTCCTCCTAAGCATACTGGCCCTTCCTTGTACAAGCAGGGACTTGGAACAGGGTTTGAAAAACGTTCATGAGTGGAGAACTGTGCCTCCATTCATGTCACAGGGTGCTAACAATTTGCCAGGAAAGGAAGCAGGAAAGAACTTCATTGAGGAGATTGACAAGATAATTCCATTTTTCTGCTGATGAAAATATTCCAGTTCAGGCATGCCAGGTTGTTGCAATTCTTAAGAAACAATATTCTTCCATTATCAATGTACAAGATGTTTCCTTTTTTTCAAGCAATACTTTTTTGACAACTTTCAGGATTTTTTAGCAGAACAATCTTGGGCCAGTTTTGCAGAGAGGGAAGATCTCAAGGCTGCTGCAGTTTGAAAAACTTGAGAGAGAAAGAAAAAAGTCTAATTTTTGGACCTGAGCTACAGTTGAACCTTGATGGCAGAAACCTCCTCAAGTCAAATAAATCCTTACTTCAAAAATGTACAAAATAACTTCCCCAGAAGCTCTCAAACCTCCATAACTCATTTTCTGGAATGTCTTAATTTTTGGGCATTATTTTATTGACAATGGAAAGAGAAAAGATAAAAAAATGTAACTTAATGTGTTTTGAAAGAAAAGTGAAAGAGTAATTGGGCAAATGAAGCTGCTTGCCTCCAAGTTCATCATCCTTATAACTAAACTAATACAGTATAAGAAACAATATAAAATCAAAAATACTGTATCACAAATTACAATTTCCTGTGATTCTTTCCTCCTTTTTCTTGACAAAAATCCTCCAAATTTTTCAGTCAACTATAACTTACCTGGGAGCAGGCTGAACACCTCACACTTTAATTTGTGTTTGTAAATTGCATTATGATGTAACTGTTATTACTAATATTTTATTTTTTAATCCAGTGAGGGGAAGAAAGTATATGCATTTAAATCAGTTGTGCATTTGTACATTTTTTAAATGTACAGTATTTTCATTTTCTTTAATATCCATAAACAGCTTATTTCTCTATTTTCATTCTGATGTGATTGGATGTGTTGGGATTAGTGTGGGTTGGGAGGGGAGGGGATTTTAGATGTGGGAACATTGTTGAAACCGGCATGTGAAAGCTGAAAAGCAGAAAATGAAGTTTGTTTATCAATCAGTCAATCAATCAAATCTTTTTTCCGTATCTCAAAACTCTCTAACTCGATTTTTTTTTTTGCTTGCTGGTTATTCCTCGAAATTTTGACTTGAATATACTTATGTCAACCCTTGCGTCATACAGACCTGGCCAATACAGCCCACAGTGGCGTCCGTCACCAGCTTCTGGTCAGTGAATTCCGGCTCAAAACTCGGGATATTCTGCACATACAACAGAGTCCTCCACCATATTTGCTGACACACGCCAGCAGTGGCTGATGCCCCGTTCCAGTAGGGTGACGCATACAGTTTCGGCACAAAAGTGGCGAAAACAGCCAAGGAAATGGCAATCGGCGGGGTGAGTCGCAGGTAGCGGTGGAGATAAAACAGCGGCAGGTTGAACTTGCCCGCGGACCGTTCCAGGTCTCTGAACAGGACGTAGGCGACCATTAGCCCGCTGAGCAGGAAGAACGTGTCCACGG